ATTTTAGGATTTCCTCCAAAACTATCCTTTCAGTTCATCATGAAATTTGAAGTGGACCTTTGCACTATTTTCAAACTCTAGTCCTTAACTCTATATTAGCTTTACTTCTGTATAATCATTTACACAGCTAGAAGTTAGCATCATATTTCAAACTTTAAATTACTTACATATATTCCTGGTTCTAAAGCATTCAGTTACAAAACCTCTCTCAGTATCACTAACTGGAGAAGACTTCTGCCCGCTGAAACTCTAGCTAACGTGGTTCACCTGTCCCAGCACTCTTCACACTGCTGTATGGACACCTCCTGCCCCAGGAGTAAAAAACATTCACTGCTGCTCTCTTTCTTTGAGTCAAGTTCTACGCTTTGCGTTACTTGTCCTCCCTATTGTCTGATCTTTCTACTTTCAGATTTCGTTTCATCTTACCTGTAGCAGTCTTTCTCTCCCTGTACATCACACTCCCCAAATTAAATGCTATCTTTTTCTTATTTATGTTCCCTACCTAAGTGTTATATAATAAAGGGTCAGTGACGGGAAGCAAAGCTCTCATACACCTTCCTTGTCACTGATTGCTCTCCTTAATTACCATGTGAGCACAGAAAATTATCTGATGATTAGTACCAGAATGACAAATGAAACTAACACTCACATTGGCTAGATGGACAGAATTTCATATCTAAAAGCAAGACACAGAAAACAATAAAAGGTAGATGAAAGACTTTTGAATACGGTCCATTAGATGTACGCTTAACTATTGAACTGCAAATTACTATTGAACTGCATATTATGAACACAGTACCGACAACATTTTACATCTATTATGAAGGCTTGTCTCGCTGATCCTGGCATATAAGATTTATAAAACTACACAAAATTGCTAAAGGGAAAATGTTACCTCCAATAATTTTTACAACATTATAGAAAGAATGGGGCTGGGGATTTAGCTCAATGGCACAGCACCTGCCTGGTAAGTGCAAGGTCAAGAGTTCAATTCCCAGTACCAGAAAAACAGAAAAACAAAAAAACCAAAACAACAAGAACAACAACCACAAAACATCATAGAAAGAAGATATCTTTGAAGACACATTTTACAGATATTAAATGTGAGGCACAAACAAGTTTTCAAAATCATTTTGCTGCTTCATATTTGGATTACTATAAATAGAACATAGACCAGAATCAAAAATGTTAAATATTATATTAGATATCTCTGATTTATAAACATGTGCAGTGTTTTAAATGGGAAAGAATCATTATAAAAGATAGGGAAAATATCCAGGAGAGTAGAGGTTAAATATACAAAGAAAAGATTCATAGAAAGTAGGCCTGAAATAAGGGTATTTTGATGGAAACTCATTCAATATAAAAGGTAAATGCAGAGGAAATGATGTTTATACTTGCCCCCCACCTGGTAGCACTTAAATTAGGAAACAAACTGCTTAATTCTATGCACATATAAGACAGAGCACAGATGTTTCACATACTTTTTTTAAGTTTTATGCAATCATATGCGCTTTAGTGCAGCTGCATACTACCTAAGATCTTAGATGGACTCAAAACACTTTATCCACGTCTGTCGTTACATTCCACATGAGCACTTCTAAATCTTCCCGGCAGCCTGTGAACTCCGTGTCCCTGCCATGTTTGCTGCAAGGCTTCCCTTCTTACTTTCATGTGTGTGCACTTATATTTATATATGATTCCCTATTGCAACTTCCACAGTGGTAACTACCCATGAAAATGAGGAGAAACTCTTTGAAACTGAAGAAATTTTCCTGAGAGTTCTAAATATATGGTGGCTGTCGCCATCAAAGTACAAATAAG